TACGTGGTTACAAAAATCGTGTACCCAAGCTTATATCATTTTATGTACGTTATAGTGTTAGGTATATGGGATCCGCTACAACAGTCACCGTGGGAAATGCAAATCTCAGTAGATCTCACCTGCATATTATGTGTGTACTGCAATATTATAACTGCACGTATACGATATAGTAGAAGGTAGAAGGTACCTACAATAATAATAATCAATCGCATTATACCAACGCCGCCGCCGCCGTCAATCGATCGGCAACGATTTCCTTTTGTGAATAATATATATTATACATTTTACTTGCCGCGAATATATTGTAACCCTTTGATGCTGCTGCAGTCCGGGCCACCTGGAATTAACAAGACCCAGCAGCCCCGCGCTCATAATAGTTTATATTCAAATATTATGCGCGTAGGTACCGATTTGCGTATACGTATAGGTATATACATAATGGTTTATTACATATATACCTACATATAACCACCGCGGTATACCTGTCACGCGGTTCGCGGGGACCCGGAAGGGATAAGTCGTATACATGCGGTACACGACAGTATGTGTCGTAGACGTATATATATATATATATATGAAAATAAATACTTACTGTAGATTCAGATCGTGGAGAGAATTTTAATCTGAGAAAGCCCTTGGAATATTATTATGTAATATTGTATTGTGCTGATACAGCTGTGTCGTCGCCGTCCATCGTCGCGGTGCTAGAGACGGAACTATAATATTATAATACGTATACCTACATTGTAGGTACAGCCATAATAGATTTTAAGGCATCCTATACTCGTATTATATCAGTACATAATAATATACAAGGTCGCGGTCGTGCATATTAAAAATCGTGTTCTTTGTCAAAGAATTCAAGGGTTTAGGTCACCGGAGTTATTACTGTTATTATTATTAATATTAATACGATGCCAAAAACGAAATAATATAATAATAATATTATACCTTTAATACGACTGTGCGAATTTGTAGTACTGCAAATTATATTAAACAACCCTTTTTAAAGTTACGAATTATGGTGAGATCTCGAGCTCAAAATATTCTATATTATTCGCATTATTATATTATTGTATTAACATCATTATTATTAATATGCATAATTCACCTATATATTATTATTATCGTCTGCACGGCGCATAGTCTATAATTTATTTATTAACAATATTATTATGACTGCCACAGACATCAGAAAATCTTTGTCATAATATTATATCAATATATTATCGTAATTGATCACAGTAATGTACTAATACGAGTATAAATTATTATTATCATATAATTGTATTGTCGAAGGAAGGTTTAGCGAGAAATCTTCAACGGTACAGTTTACCCATATTAGTTGTATATAAATTGTGTATCACTTTAGGTGTCTGACTTGTCACTTGTACAATGTACATATATTATTATATTAATATATATATATATATAATTCGAAAGAGTTCAATTAAGGCACATCATATTATTTTTTTCCACACTTATTAAATTGTATTATTTGCTGTGTAACGAAATCCAAAATACTACCATCAGAACTGAATTATATCGATTATTTTGCGTCGATTAAATAGAAAATCAAATTATAAAAAGTATTTTAATATGTAAAAAAATATTAAAATTATAATTTTGCACGTTCTATGCGTAAACTGTGGATACGTTGAGATTCATAATAAATAAAACGCATTTATTGTGATCCAATGAAAAAATCGTCAGTTTCTTAAAATTAAATAGGAATATGGTTATTATAAAATTGTTTATGATGTTCATTATCATGATTGTCGTAGACCCATATAATGATACATCTACTCATTATATAGAAAAAAATTAAAATTATTACAAATCTAGTAATAAGACGTACATTTCACAATTGCGTTATATTATATATAATATGTACAAAATAATCGTTACGTCTCTTTGACACGGAATTGTTATAATGATAATAATATTATTATTCAAACAATTAAATTAAACAATTTAAACACTTAACTATATTATTATATCCATTAAAATTATTGTGCCACTCTGTAGCTATTGTACTGCAGCCCAGTAATAAAACCGGCAAGTACCATGCTTGACCAGTTAGTGTATTCCGTCACTTTTTTCTGTAATTTCAACAACGCAGTTACTGTCAGTCAGCAGGGTTATTTGTACCAACATCTAATAATCGATCCATCGTGACTCGTAGGCCTCCGTGTTTCACGAAATACCAGCAAAGAGCAGTGTATAAATTATACTCGAGTCTTTTAATTCAGGTCAAGGGTGAAAAGAAAATAAATCTTAAAAAAATTCACGAAACATAATCATTTAACGAACGGTGGATGGAGATGAAAGGAGGGAGGCTTTTGTGTTTATTATTATTAGGTAGGTACTCGTMKTTTTTTTTTTTTTTTTATTGCGTGCCACTGCACTAAAGACCGAGCGCGACGTCGGTAAGGGGAGTGTTGAACTTTTCTGTGCTCTTTTTATTTTAATTATGACCTTGACTCATATTTCCCTCAAGGCCAAATGTTTTAACTACCCTCCCGCGAGGAAAACTTTCTTACTTTTTATTATTATTATTATTATTATTATTACTATTCTAATGCACCTCGCGCCACTCCCCACCACGACGCCAACGTCGCTGCCGCCTTCTTTGTTATTGCTGTTAAAAGAAGTAATTTATCCATCCACCCTCAGCCAGCGGTGTCTGGATTTAATTTGCATGCAACAAGTGCCATAAATATTTATCATCGATTAAAAAAAAAAAAAAAAAAAACGAGAGAAGAAAACAAAAACAACAGATTAAAAACATTCCAGACGTCGCAGTTTTTTACTGCTGCTGTACGTAATCAAAAAATAACAATTTTGTTTCGTGGTTTTCTTTTTTAACACATATTTTCACGTTTAACAATCGATAGGTCAAACAATTTTGATTTGCTTAATTATACAAGAACAATCTTTATTATTATAAGTGTAAGTTTTAATCAATTTTGAAGAATTATTTTTTTGTAATATATTAGTACTTAGTACTATTATTAATATTGTTTTGTTTTATACTTTAAATAAAAGTTGAAAAACAATAATATTAACTTTGTTTAAAAGAAAAATCATAAGTACGTATCTAACTATAAAAGTATATATTATGAAGAGTTGCATAAATATTAATGATTAATCAAATACTAACAATTTAATGAATCAATAGTCAGTTAAATGGTTCCTTAAAATTGAAAAAGTGGTTAATGATTGGTCCATTATTAAATTTTATAATGAACCATTAAATTAATTTTTTTTTTTTATGCAATTAGAAATGTAAAATGCTTCAAATTTATGAGAGAACGAGTAATTACATATCAAATTAAAATATAGTAAGTATCATCATAAAAATGTATAACCGGTATGCTTMTTTTCAAGTTAACAAATTATATTGATAAAAGATAGGTTACCTACCTTTAGAATATTGCAACTCACAATCATTTTTTATCAATGTATAATTTAAGCAGTAGCAAGACGATAATAGGTATATTTTGGATAACAATAGCTATAATAATATGTATTTAAATCAGATTTATTTTTAATAAGTGAAAAAGAACATATAATTATATATAGATATGCTAACTTATAGGACACACTATATCACATGATATTACGTTTATGTAAGCAATAATGACAGATTTTGATAATTCTAAAAACAAAATAGGTACATTAATATTTCTGTATTAGTTTGAAAATTAAAAACAAGTTTCTCATAAGCTAGATTTTAATGTACGTCGAACAACTCGAAAAAAATAATATACATTTTTTCACGTTTGTATAATAAACGATTATTATTATTCATACTATATAGATATAATATAGGTAGATGCCTATGCTGCACAGTGCACAGTCACACAAATAAACCTTATATTACCTATGAGTCAGAATACTCACCGCATAGTCGTATAAAATAGAATGTTTGAATATTTTTGAAATGTAAGTACATGCATTTCTGTTAAAAATTTAAAAACCAACATTTACTGTGATACATTTATCAATTTGAAAATTCAGGGAATAAAAACTAGAAAAATTGTAGAAAAAGATTAATAAAATATAAATATAAAAAAACGAACGAAATGCAAACAAACAAATATATTATACATTTGTGCAGGAATTTTACTGTAGTATATGCATACAATTTTTCCCAGTTACTTAACTACTAATTTTAAACAATTTCTACTCATATTTTTAACCAAATAAATTATATTAAAATACAAAATAGCCTTAAGTCTGAAAAAAATATATTTTCGAAAAATATACCTCAATAAAATGTACGGATGAATAAAAAATATTTCGGACAAAATGTACATAACGTCATAATTCTCATAACAATATATTATAATGTGTACGCTTACTTGTCATAAGTATGATACATATTATATGATGGTACAAACATCGATATAAGTAGTGATATAAGTAGTGATAACAATAAAATAATATATGTTGTCGTGTCGTACGCATATTATAGTATAATACAACTCGAAATATAAATGTATGTTATAGGTAGCTATATATAAACTCGGAAGTGCCGATTTTGACGAATCACTAATGGTATTGAATGATATTGTATTTTATATAATATATATGCGAGTGTGGGTTCGTCAATCCAGCCATCCAGGTGCACCAGTATAACGACGACAGTACCTACATAATATTACACGCACAGTATTATAATAATAATAATATATAATATGCGTGCATACCTATGTTTGATAATAATAATAATAAAAAGGGTATGCAAATTTATGCGCTCTTCGATTCTGGGAGGCTGTGTTCGGCATTTGACGTGCCTTCTAGCGGGGAACCGGTGGCGCGGCGCGTGTATGTAATATTATAATATATACAATATAATAATATAGGGTATAGAAGGGCGCCGCAAACGGGTGTCGTACGACGGGGGTCGAGGGGAACAGTGTGAAATAGAGTGTGAGTGAAAGAGAGAGAGGAAAAAAAGCAAATTTAGATCGACGTGGTTCAAAAAACACCACCGAAAGGGTTAAACGCACCACAGAAGAGGCATATTTAAATATTACTAGTCGACGGTGGAGGACACACGGAACGCGCGATCAAAACTGCACTGAAACCCACTCGGTGAGTACTGTAATAATAATATGGAATATTGTATTTTGTTATTATTGTGGCATATACGCCCGCAGACGTATGTCATAATGTGATTGTTGTTATTTTATTATATTTTGTTATTTTTACCGTAAAACGCCCCAAACCAGTTTGAGTCCCGCGCGTCATAACACTCGTAAGCGTCGCGCATACGCAGTATAGTTCATTCCGTTTTGGGGGAAGTTTCGCCCTCGCGAACCCTTGACCTCTCGGCTATTCCTCCGCCCACAATCGGTGGTAGCTGTCCAAATATATCATCAATTATAATATATTATATTATTAGGTATTAAACATCGCCAAGCCATAACGGAATACGATGCGATATATTATTAATCATAATATTACATAAAGGAATTCTAACAGTAGATATACCTAGTTAATGTACAATAATTTAATAAACTTAACTACAAAACAGAAGGCTAATATTTTGATCGAGTATAGGTAAATCTATTATTATTATTTTTATTTTTATTAATACCGCTTATATTTAAGTGTAAATATTTTTTACAATGCAATTAACTATTTAATATAATAATCCCTACATATTACATAAGTAAGGATAACGTCAACTCGACAATTGTTTTTAATTTTTTTTTCGACAGCGTATGTTGAATTGCCACGATTTATAAATTATGTATAAGTATAGATACCAAATATTATTATATTAGACATGCATGCATGTAATATTATGTTGTCATTAATTGATATTAGGTATATTTTACKAATTCAAGCAGTTGGCATAGAAAATAAATTTTTTAATAAATTGCAGGTACCAAATATCAACATTTTTTTAAAGCTGACAAAATTTGATAATGACAATTGCCTAAGTCCATAGTTCGAATTCTTATGTTTAATTTGTATGAACATCATAATATATATTAATTATTAAATACTGTAAATTGAAAAAAAATAATTAAAACTTCACTACTTACTATAGGTAGGTTTTAATTTACGAAGGATTTTTAGGTACCTATAAATATATAACTCACAAAAAACATATTACTGCCTAAAATATCAAATGTACTGTTTGTAGCAAAAGATTTATTAGATTTTATTACATAGTAAAACAGAAACAAATTTGATGTCTTACGACTTACAAAAAGCCATAAAAATACATGAGTGGTTAAAATTGAGTTTACTATTTTAATGATTATTGAATAAATTTTAAAATATTACCTCTTTAGAATTTCGCTGTTTACACCATACTTTTTTAGCTTAACTATATTCAAATAAATATTGAATATATCTTTGTTCTCAACATTTTAGTTTTAACTTTATTTTACATAGGTATTCAAATACTTGTTCTTGATATTCGATTATTTCGATATTTAAAGATGAAGTATGTTTTTATTTATAAATCATTATATGCTCAATAATATAGGTACATAAAAATATTATAGTGCTTTAGCATAGTATTATACTGATATCCGGTGAATGTCTATTGATTAATATCGTTATAATTATTGAATATGTAAATTTTATAAATACCTAAGTATTATAATTTTGAGCAAATTTTAAATATATTTGTTTCATTTGACATATTTTTAACACCAAAAATTGGATAGTACAGACACATGTCATAGTATTTTAGATTTAAATGTACGTACTTTTAGTAATATATAGTATCAAATGACAGTTAAAAATACAAAATACACATTGATATCAAATTAAAATAAATTACTTTTTTATGTACCTAGGTAGATAGTGTAAATAGTTATAAATAATAATAAGTAAAATCATAACAATAATACAATATACATAATACCTTAATACCTAGATATTCTCGGAAATAATGATTAGCAATATTATATTACATTCTAAGTAGGTGTATGCGGTAATATTAAACTAAAACCGTAATTTTATATTTTTTAAATCAAAATTAAATCTTTATTTCTTATCTTTTATAACCCTTTATAATTATAATCCTATTGAAGACTAGATAATAGACCTGCATGTTTTATGTACCTACATAAAAACATAAAATTATTATGATTTCATTGGTTCTATTGAATTGTGTTAATAAACAAATTACAAATACCAAAAAAAATAATATAATTCTGGTATAGGTATATAAGCATCTTATTCAACTATGTAATAAAAGTAAGAAAAATAAAATTATTTTAAAAATTAAAACCATAGTAGGTACTACCTGGCGACTATCTACTTTTACTAGTATTAAAAAAAAAAAAACATTTTTAAGGATAAAAAATATTTTTATTTTTATTTAAAAATTTAAGATTTTGTAATCTTAGAAAATAAAGATTATATATTATAGTATGAAGTATGAAGTACTATGTTATAGATATAGAGCTGGGATTCACAATGTATGGTCACCTTCATTTTTTATTTTACTTATTCATTAATGCAATAATRTATTTATTCAAATTCTGATTTTTTTGAACTTATCAAGTTAACTTAAACTTAATAATTTCATACTTAGATTTTGCATGTAATTTAAAGAGTGTCTTTTGCCCTTGTTGCTAATCAACTTTAGTCAATAGGTAACCGGCTATCGCCTATCAGTAATGATGATTTGTATATTTTTTACTTTATAAAATGTTAATGTACTTAATGATTACTAGATTAAATATATTACAAAATACAATAGATACCAACAGCAACTGTTGAATAGTTTTCTAAGACCGTCTACAATCCGACAACTGAATATTTGTAAGGTCATCTGGTCATAGCCCATAGACCATAATACATCACTATTATCATTTGTATATAATATGTATCACCTATGTATTATTAATATATAATATATCCACTTTTTTAAAATTATTTATAATAATCATAATATGTTTCAGCACACGTGGTGCTATTACAAGTAATAATATGCTTACTTAATACCATGAAAAAATGCTTAATACCAATTTTAATATTTATTATTTCAATAACACAGAATCTAATCATTTGAGTTTAATTTAGACTCAACAACAATCAACATCTTCATAAAAATCATCAGTTGCATCATATTATAATAATATAATTCACGGCCTCACGGAAAAAAGGTTAGTTCTAAATTAAAAAAAAATATTTCACCATAAGACACTCCTTAAACTACAGGATAACAAATTTTTTGAACGGATTAAACAATCTTGAAATTCTAAAATGTACTTCAAAATCACAAAAAAAAAAAAAAATAGAATTTTATTAAATTTATTATTATTAAGAAAAACACTGGGTTCTAGCTTGGTGAATCACCGTGTATTATTTATTATTATATATATACTATAAGGTCATAGGAATGTTAAGTATAAAGATGTAATGGGTAGGAACGTATTCTGACACTATCCATACTCAATATAGAACGCAGCGAGCTGCACGTCATGATCGTCACGTATTCCTTGGAACGGCGTTGGAGTACCAGTGATAGTCGTGAGAGATTGGTACAGAAGTGTAGAACATCAATAATAATAATAATCCAGTGAATCGTGTTGAGTGAAATTATTATGAATGTATTTCAATGGACCTTAAAAAGAGTAAGAATGACGATCATTTTCATGGCGGCCTGTTGGTCTAGGGGTATGATTCTCGCTTTGGGTGCGAGAGGTCCCGGGTTCAAATCCCGGACAGGCCCAGTAAATTTTTGCTTTTTTTCCGAAGTTTTTTTATTCCACGTTCCAACAGTGATCAGGTTCTATGACGACCAGTACACTCGACACGTTCTGTTATAAATGGTGAATGTTTTTTACTCAGAACAACGGCGGCCTGTTGGTCTAGGGGTATGATTCTCGCTTTGGGTGCGAGAGGTCCCGGGTTCAAATCCCGGACAGGCCCGATTAAAATTTTATTTGTTACTATTTTTTTCTTTACATTTTTTAATTTAATTTTATTTTTGTCGATAAACCGGTTCGACCAAAACGACGACTTGTGAGTGAAAGGAAAATATAGAAAGCTGCCAACATCCGATCATTCGCATTAAGCCACATACAATCACGTGACTTCTTCATCGCGGCCTGTTGGTCTAGGGGTATGATTCTCGCTTTGGGTGCGAGAGGTCCCGGGTTCAAATCCCGGACAGGCCCATCGATTTTTTTGCATTTTTTTTATTTCGTTACCTTTTACTATTACGCGTGTTTTGTTTTTGTTTTTGCTTCGATCACGCGCGTCTGTAACTAAATCACAACTGTTTGTGATATCCATTCACCGCGGCCTGTTGGTCTAGGGGTATGATTCTCGCTTTGGGTGCGAGAGGTCCCGGGTTCAAATCCCGGACAGGCCCGAAACCAAATTTTTTTTTTTTAATTTACTTTTATTTGAGAATTATTTTTTTATTCACACATTCTCTTTTATCCAGTAATGCGTGTCAGTGGGAGAAATTCTGCAGAAATCTGACTACTATAAAACGCGACCATTGACAACAAACTGCAGCACGTATCGCGGCCTGTTGGTCTAGGAGTATTATTCTCGCTTTGGGTGCGAGAGGTCCCACGGGGTTTTAATTACAGACGGCCCCTCAAACCAATTTTTTTCACAAAATTTTCGTCCGTGTCCGAGTATAGTTTCATTGTCTCCAAAAATTAAAATACTACCTACTATACTGGTATACATACCTTTTTTCACTTTTTTAATTTTTTTTTGCCGACCTGCAACGACACGTCATGTTATATAATTGTACACTAGTTTACAGGTTTATACTGCCATACTGGGTACCTAATATTAATATATCAAGTCCACTTGCAGTATATATTATGCAAATCGAAGGAACAACGACGCGCAAAAATCACCCACAACGATGCTGCAATTTGTATGTGACGGCCCACTATACTATGATATATGTATATATATATATAAATATACGTGCGCAACGTACATTTCAAATACACGAATACACAAGCGTATATAACGCATATATATATATATGTTTACTGTGCTCGTCTACGCTGTGGATATTATATATATATATATTTTTAGCGTGACGGAACAAAAACAATAGAGAAATTCCGTGTTTGCGCTTGGAACTAATT